GATCCACGCGGCATAACCTCACCACGCGTCGTTTGAAAACGATGCTTTATTAGTATTACGCTCTAGATACACGCGACGGAGTCCGTGAATAAACTAGTGACGCATTCTGGCTGCTTATTCGCGGACTAGTATCTAGAAAGTACTAATGAACCTCGTTTTAAAACGATACGTGAATGATGTCCATTACAATGTACATGATATACAGTACTAGTATATATATGTACATGTGTTTTGGTATATTAACCTGGTATGAACCAATATTTGCAACTTGTAAACTTCATTATTACCCTGTTCCTCTCATTATTAACATTAACATTGTTCATTTCAAATCTACGTTCATAAAACTATATGTGTGCAGTTTCGTGAGTGGTATACAGACCAGTTAATCCGCCCATTCTTCTGTTCGGTTATGTCTTAATGTAAATAAATCAAAAGTTTCACCACGAATCGGGCAGAGTATCTCAATAGCGCCCTCAGTCAACGGTCTTGGTCTCCGTACTTGTCCGCCGATAGAGGACGTAATTTACGCACGACATAGTCACGCCGCAATGCTTAATTTGCTTGTTCATTTGTAAGGTAAATTTGAGATGCTACAATATTAAAAATATGGTTGAAGGTTGGATGAATTTTTTTCAGATATGATCGATATAATATTTCGTCAAGGAATAGAAAAGAACACTGTTTACTATTTTGAAAATTTTCAAAGTTTTCAATTTACCTTATTAGAATTTTAAAACTTCTTGCCGGTGCAATGTTGTTACATGATAATAAAGTACACATTATCAATGGACATTATTATCAAGCTCTCTTCTAAAGTCTTAGTGAGACAAATTATGTTCAGTAGACTTGTTTCACATCAACCGTTATAAAATTAATACACCATAGAGGGACTGTGTAGGAAATATTCTCCTCTGCAAAGGTATTATGTCTATTTTATATAATGTTGCTCAAGAAAATTCTGAACTTGATATTTTCAAATGAATTTACACTTTTCGTTATTCTGTAAAAGAGTATTTACCGGCACCCGCTGTTAATGTTAGTAAATAAATAAATCAATAAATAAATTAATTCCAGTTTCTAATTCTAATTAACCGTATAATGTCTGTGACCTCGTACAGTCTCCACTTTTAATGATACGTCACACCAAACTATATTTTGCTGAAAGCTTTAGCATTTTGAGTCACGGTTTGCAGTGTCGTTTTCATAGGCAAATAATATATTAGACACAGAGGGCGCCGTTCTTATGAAAATTCTTCGCTTCGGGTTGAAAAATATTCAAAATAATTGAAATGAACAATAGATATGAGTTTAAATGAAACACTTTGTTTAGACAGTGAGAATAGCAATAAATGCAATAGAATAAAACGCAAATTCACATGCATCTTGGGTTTACCGATACGTATAGGTAAGTTTAGTCACACGCCGGCGCACTCATGGTTTCATTGTTGTATTGAACGAATATGTTTACTGCCAAATCAGTTTTTCTACGATAGAAATAATATTATATTATTTCTATCACGATGCATTTTAAGTCAAAATTATTAAAATACTCAAAAATAATCGTAGTTATACAAATTTTCACAGACTTTTTTAAAACTCGGAAACATATTTCACAGTTTAGAATCAACCAATCAATCATAGTTACTTGTTACCAACGAACAGACAGGGAACACACTAGGTTTAACAGATTATACAATGATGAAACAGATATTTATTTAAATCACAACGGTTACTAGTTCGCTATTTGTGGCTCATTTTAAATCCAACTGCCACTCAGACCACGGTTACTAGAACCATGCTCGGAGTGAAAACGGTTTAGTACCCAAGGACTCATTTGATAATATGTTCATATGTCTAATTTAAGAAAATTAATGTAATATATATTTTGATATATTTCAATCCGTTACCCTGTGCGTCCACCTTATATTTCTATTGCGAAATGGTCAAATCAACATTGAAAATAACCATTATTAAATGCTGAATTCAATATTGTGAAACACTGACACCCATAACAACATTTTTGGTTTGTTCATATTTACACGATTTGTTGCAAAATTTGAATACCAAATCAGTAGATGCGACAAGACTAAGTGAAAGAGGTATTATGGTTGTATTTTTCAATCCAGAGGGATGTATCTATGATGAAATTGTTTTCGCTTATCTGTTAATCGACTTAATTAGCTGATTATTAGCGAATGGCTGTGTTATGTCTGGTATCGTTTAGGCAGGGGAGGTTTTGGACAGAACTTGGCTCAGTGATTTGGAACTAATTACGAGATAACCGTCGCTATTCGGACTACTATTTCTGACACTTAGTATTCGTAGTTATTAATGTAGTGAACGATTAAAGTTGTTTTAGTTGGTCTTGGCGAGCACACCAGAACAGAGGCAGTGCAGTCCTGGAGAGTCTTGGGGCGAGTCAAAGCACAGTCTTGGGAGAGTCTTGGGACAGCCTTGGATAGTCTTGGGGACTTTTCCCCAGGGCGCTGTGTCTTATAGAGTACTCGACCGACTAAGACGAGAGTTGAAACGTATTTCGTTTAGAGCTTAAGTGACTTCCTCGATCCCGCACCTCAAGGGGACGCGATAGAGAGACGAGACGAGATTCCCCCCTGGCACGTGTGGAGAACCCAGAGAGAGTATTCCCCCCGTGATACATCCATCATAGGCTATATTTGATTTTAGATTTGATCATTTTCCAATTTATACAAACGTTGGGCGCGATGGGAATGGACCAGGCTCCGATTATGTTTCACCTTAGTGTTTTATGCGCTTTAAATAAAAACACACTCCAACTAAACGTTAAATGAACAAATAAAAAAAACACGCTATTATGGGATGTCATTATTACTGCATGTTGAATGCAGCATACAATAATAGTTATTTTCAATGTTGATTTGACCATGATATTGTAATAGAAATATGAAGTGCCTTTTACCGGATTATTTCTAGACCCGGTTTAAATTATGTATTATGCTACAATATATGATAGACATGTTGGTTGGAAAGCGCAATTCGTGGAGGCAGAATACAGTGTACTGGAGTACTAGTCTAGCCACCGTCCCCCGACACCTGTTGAGGGACGGTGGTCTAGTCAAGTTGCTGCATTGCACTGTGACACACAAATGGAAATATACATGGACATACGGAGTTTGTAAGTCCAACCACACAAGGTCAAACATAAATTTAAGTACACAGTCTATCTGTGGGAACTGTTCTAAGTATAATTGTTTGAAATGCGAAATAGTTGTTCATTGTGTATAATGTTAGAAACGACATCAATGACGTTTGACGTCATCACCGTGGTATAACAAGCGACATCAATGACGATTGGCGTCATCACTTTTAATCCGAAACAGCGTCACAAACAAACCAAACCAATAGATTACGTAACTGGATTAAAGGAAGGACGTACGTGGATATAAGAAACAACAACAATATTCAATGTGATGAGCTGTTTTTGTTACCAGTGTCGTGAATAGAAATAAAGCCCCCTAGAACTTCAAGAAAGTCAGCAATACAAAAGGCGTAACAGGCACTGGGAGTTTAATAAAATTATTTTTTATTAAATCACATGGATGAGTTATCAATGTGGCGTTGTGTAAAATATATAAGCGTTTGATGAATACAATGCTTCAAGTGAAGAGCTCTACGTATTTCATTGAGTGTTCCGGCACTAGCCTGGTTAGAATAGTACTTGTAGCAGGGTCTTAACTGGTTAAAACTATTTTTGTAATTCATTCATTAACTCTCTTCTGATTTGATATGACATGAATTCATAGTTAAGACAATTGCCTAGCTTGTCGCACCCTGTTTTTAGTGGTCAATTTCAGTAGTTATAATTTTATATGGCTCATTTTTTGTTAATTACGACAAATACGATTTAGCTACCAGGACCTTTTAGATTCTTCAAATCATTCAATTAGTTTCACTGCACCGTTAATCACATCAGCGACCACATTGTCTTATGTTAATTGTCATCGCGATAATTTACCAACTACATACGTGTAATCGAATTCCATGCAGCGAATAAGCTGTGAAGAAGACGTATAACAAGAACAGCCAGTCAACACTACTTCTGTATCTTTGACACCTTGAACCTTGTACGGGAGGAGCTGTACGGTTCACAGGACATGTGAATGCAGGATGTGTGAAGAAGAAAAAAGAGTCGACGCTAGAGACAGTGTAGTAGAACGGGGGAAGATGAACAAGACGCGCAATCAATCGTCTCTAACCAATCTACCACCGCTTGTGAACGAACCAAGAAAAAGTTTGGACATCTTGAATGGTGATTCTGAGCGAGACTGCGTTGAGCCACTCGCTTCCTCTCCTTCACTATGTCGTAGAAGACGGCTTTTAAGATATGTCTCAGCACCGGATACATTGCTTGACGCGGAAGGCAAAGCAGCGAAGACATCAAGTGAATCGTCATCAATAAGATCAATAGAAAACTCATCGAGACTTCTTCGCCGACTGCTAAAGCAAACCGCGCCACAATCCCAAGACGAACAACCACCGTCACCTCGTATCCCAAAGAAGCACTTCTACGATTATAGATCGACCACGTCTTCGGAAACGTCGCCACTGGTGCCACGTAAAATAGTTTGTGGATCGTATGATTCGACGGGGTTATCTCCCGTACCATCGCCGAGAGTGTCACGACGTGGAATTTCTACGCCGAACCAAAATCTTGAAAGTTTCCGACGAATAACACCTGTAAGAGCGTCTCGAACATTTTGTATGAGTAAGTACCAATATACTAAATGTGGGATTACTTTTACTAAAGAAGCCCAGTATTATGTACATGTATCAATGTGGTGCTCAACAAATAACTAGAACAAGTTGTAAGCGTTTATTTTATTATTATTATTTTTATTTTATTTGAGGTAAGTATGTTGATTACACATGGATCAAACAAACCATGATTACAACAAACATTCACACACAGCTTTGGATATAGTTTACATTTCAACGACTGTGTCTAGTATAGTACGTATATTAGTAAACAAGTTCTTTATAATCTGCATTGTAGTTAATGACGTCGTATTGTTGTTTCTTATCTCATTGTTGGTATTCACTTAGTACGAAGTATAGTTTCTATGACAAAAGTGTGCACGAATTTCAATGTCAAAAGAAAATCATTACTAAATAAGTGTGTACTAGGTAGGCGTTCTGTGCTACAATGTACGACACAAAAACTCTCTAACTTCATATATAAAACCCTTAACGGTTGACGAAAATATTTGAATATTAATAGAAGAAGGAAAAGATTATAACAATAAGGTTATTACGAGGATACCTCAAAGTATGCACTCAGACAGTACGCCGTCGCATCGTCCTCCGCTGCTCGTCGGTCGATACTCCCGCTGTACTGTCTTCGTGTATACTTTGAGGTATGCTCGTAATAACCTCATACTTGTGTATTTACAACAAAATGACAATTGTAAGTTAGGTTTATTTAAGCTTCAAGGGTTGACTTTACTAGTACATGTACTATAAAAGTTGCGTTATAATAGTATTATCTATGCATGAAGATAACAAAATTGTTTTTCTCTCTTTTCTCTAAAGTAGTTTGAATCTAAAGTTGTATTTTTTTCAATTGAGTTTGCTAATCGATTCGCTATGAAGTTTACTTGTATTTTTATTTCTCTTTCAAGGGAGTGCCCATAATGCGAACGCTAATGGGTCTAGCGTTATAGACATGCATGAATTGAACAACAAGCTGACTAGCTGTGGGATGAATGAACAAGCTGTGAATTCGCCCTACGTGTGTAATCACGTGACGTCGGGTAACATACGCTACAGGAACGAGGCGCTCAATGGGGAGGACTTTGACAAAATACCGACGAATAGTTCCGAAGAAGAAACATCAGCTGTAAAAGAGGAACATCTTGAGTCAAAGTCCAATATCTGTGAAACGTTGGATGATAACTGTGTAAACGCACTTGAGACCCACGAGGAACATAAACAGTACGATAAGTTATCTGACACCAGAATACTAAACTGGTTGAGCGATATTGAAAAAGAGATGCATCATGGCGCGGGGGAATATGGCGTCCGCCTGCCGACAATAAATGAATTTGCATATAATCACGTGACATCTGAACGTGAATGACAATTTTAACTTATGTATGTGATGCTGAATTTAGTGTTGACAATTTTGACAATTAATTAATTAACGTTAAAACAATAGGGTCTCTTTAATATGATCACAGAAAGTTACATAATCCTGTCAGAATGTAGAATTATTTCTAGTATTATTCCAAAAAAATACTCAAATAATCGAAAAGATAACTAGTTAGTATATATTTCGTGGAGCGTGTTTAAATTCCACAGTCATGCGCAGAATACACTCCAATCAAGAACTCACACTCTCTAGATGGTTAATTAATTGTTTTGTAATAGATAATGTAATTTAGTAACATGTATATTTCTATGTAATGTTTCACTGTTTCATTGAGAGATATTACGTCGCCATTTCGATGACGTACTAAGGGTAGAAGACGACTGACTCACTGTCGCCACAATACTTATTTCCTCCAGGGACTCTGCGAATAATACCATCATGGTTAACGGCGATTGGACTGACTTCGAAACGTTTCAGATCCAAGTCGTGTAGCGCCCTCTAGCACGAATAACCCCCATTACTTACGTTAATTTGCGTGGATGAACTACATACTTCACTATGACCCAACCATACCACAATACGCCCATGACAAATACAATCGCAATGGTTTAGAATATGAATACGGGAATAAACGTGCGGTCTGAACAAAAATGATATAATATCAACTAATTACCACCTTGTGAATGCCATGTATAAATATAGGTGGCAAAACAATTTAAATTTATAATCAATTTGATGAACATATTTTCGCTGTTCTTTAATCTATGGCCTAATTACTTTATAATTATCTCGAAATAATACACAAATTTTACGAATAACTTGAAGACGAGCCCCAGCAGTTACAAACGACGCACCACCGCTAGTTGTTAGAAACACAATTACGTTTTGGACATATAGTTACGTAACCCCATAAACCTTTCTTGGGAATATTTTCTTGTGTAAATTACATTTATTTGAAAAGATATAATTTCCTTTTATCGGATTGTGCATTTTATCTATTGGTAAATCATCGTAGACACTGTAATAAAAATGAGGATTTAAGACGCATGCATGGTATTGGTTTCAAGGAACGACGAAAGACCGATAATATAACCTGACAGGCTATGATTGTGTATTTTCATTATGCCGATTCTTACACACGTCTGTCTGTCACTGGCAACTGTTGCAACCTCTGATTTTCGTGTGCAATTTGTATTTGCAGATTGTCGTCATTCAGAGCAAAGGCAGTGGTGACAATGGTACTCGTTTCTAATCCCATGTGAGAACCTCTGTACATTTCACCGTAAACATCGTGTGATGCATTGGACGTGAGATAGGAACAGTTTTCAAAAAATGTTCTTTTATCTACAAACCGAGACAGCAGCGACATGCAATCCCCAATTGTAATCTATTTAGCTCATCTAAACATTTTACTATGGTTTCTATGACAACCTTTATGCATGAGCATCATTCATCGCACAGAACTATTTTTAGAAGATGAATACAAAAGGCAAAGGGCGATCTGATACTAAGGAATAAGAAAAACATAATTGGAAATCACCAAAATAGCATCTTAGTGACGGAAATTACAGCTTCCATAAGTCTTCTGTTATCTCATTGATGCTTTTTATATCATTACGTCGGAGATTGAATTAACTCGAGATTCGACGGACGATAGTCTTGTCACATTTCTACTGCACATGCGCAGATAGAGTGAGACTTACGGTTCTTATCGATGTCATCATCGTGTATGTATTATTTTACAAGCCTTAGAAGGCCACTGACAATTCACGTTATTATTTACACAGTTTAAATCAAATGAATGGTAACCTTCTGTTTTGTTCCGATATGGATTGGCATCGAAATTACATCACGTTTCGTGCGAGAACACGATGTGGCTCGACGATACATTACACCCTGCCTACCGCACAAACCTAGACCGATTTTCTTGCTATTTGAGCGCAAGCGATGACGACTGCATATATCAACAACAGCAAATTACTAGTAGTTTAGTTTGAGACAAAAATTTGTTCTGAAAATGTAAAATAGATTAAATTAAATCACATAATGTATTAAAGCAGATAGCGAATTAGTTTATTTCTCGTAATTTATTCAATTTTTGATGTACATGTATAAGATGAGACAAAATGTTGTTCTGAAAATGTAAAATAAATTAAATCAAAACACATAAAGTATTAAGGCAGATATGAATATTTACCAACTCACATTAATGTTATGACATTAATTCGCCTTGGCCCAAATGATCCGGTTCGAGAATGCATTACGTCATCATATATAAAACTAAATCTCATGCAGTTTGTCTATAAATCGTCACTTTGGCTTGTGGATAAAAACAGGGAAATAGCTAATGAAAACTTAGGTCGTATTATTTTTTAGAAAATACGTCTACAGACTTTTGTCGTGTCTTAAAGTAGACATCACCATCATGTAATTATGATGGGTAAGTGTGATGCCCTATGCAAGACAGTCGTTTTTACAATTGGTGTCATGCATCTCTTGCGTTCGCAGTCCGTCTCGCTAATTAGATGGCGTCATTCGTTACCATTTTGAACACGAACTACAGTGATCGGTGAAATGGCCAACTTCAACCTGGTTATTGGCGAGTTTATGGCCACACGCAAAGAGATTGAATTATACATGAAGGAAATTGTATTTTGTATAATTCAAATAATTTAAATAATTTAAATAAAATCACATTAGTTATTCTGCACGTTTTAAATAATTAAGAAGAACATCTCTGGTCACGTGAACAGTTATTATTATGAACATATGAATGATATCAAAACTTGTTTGGACAATACAAATGTCCTGATTTCTTAATATACACCAACAGACATATACTAGTATCCAAGGCAACGTTGAATACATGGACGTTCAGAACGATTTAAATATCAGAACGATTACAATGAATATACATCGTAAAGTAAACTCATGAGTTAAATCAAGGTGGGTCGTATGGTTATGCAAATTCCATCAATATGTCCGTTGATATTAAATAACAGTGCATCGTTAGTTGTCCCATTTTCGCCTTGTTTTAACAAAGGAGAACCTAATGAAATAACTCGGAATTATTTACAGTCAATATACAGGACAGAATAACGTAACACCCCCACCCCCACCCCCTTGAGCAAATAATTTGTTGTTAATTAGAAATTCAACTCGATTTACTTCCTGATGGCAATCAAGTTTAATATCATTTTGTTGTGTATGTATTTATTCTCAGAATAAAGGTAAATGACGTCATACATCATAGGCCATGAATGAAATAAAATCTCGCGTGAGTACGAATCAGCATTTGATGCATTGTGAATGTCTATTTTCTTCGAAAGTCAGAAGACAAGCGAGAACAGGTAGCCTGATATTTAAAACATAACTGTTTTTTTCTGAAAACTCTAGTAATGTATTTTTATGAGATTATACATATCATAAATCATTTTTTTAATTAAATAAAATACATCTTCGCCAAGATTAACATTATTGTAATGTGCTTTGAAAACAATTGTTTATTGTGGTTGAATGTGTATATATCATTTTAAAGGGTAATCTAGTCTCGGTTGTCAGGTGGGATGGTTTTCACACGTGTCAGCCAAGGCACTGTGATACAGTTTACATTACATATCAATAATTATTTGAGCCATGTACAATCTTTGTACAATACTCATCTACCCACCAATGCATTCTCGTGCACTGGTTCGATGAATAATGTTGCGTTCTATTTTTCCAAAATCTCAAAACAGCAAGCGTGATAGCATACAGCTTAGCCATATATATAAACCCCGAATAACGATGTTTACACTTTATAAGTGTTGTATTGGCTTTAAAAAATGGTCACCTGAATAGTACATAGTTTTGTAAGAAGCAAAAACAAACAGTTATGACTTCAATTCCCTTCACAAATACCAGCCACGCAACATTATAAGCTTTTGACCCTGTGTTTGAACTCGGGCCTAGAAGAAGTAAGCGACGTTGCAGTGATGTGCGCATGTGCTCTATTCATTCGCTGTCGTCCTGGTAACGGAGCAGTGCGATACGATGAACATCCATTACGGAAGACTGGTCGAACTCTGCATCGTTCTCTTTCACTTCGGAATAAGTTGTCTTGCAGGACATAGTTACGTCTGTCTACTGCCATTCATTGTCAAAAAATGTGAGCTGTTTTTGCATTTATAGTCGCTTTTCTTTATACGTCCACGTTTATCAACTGAAATGTACCAGCTAGTCGTCGACCTGCTGTTCTGTGGGTGCTGATAGGACGAGTAAACACGGAAGCCATCTTCGATGCTCTCCTTGAATATATTATCTTCTGTTATTAACTCCTGGGGGTTTGAAAGAGAAAGTACATTATTACACTATTACGCAATGCCTAAATATGGCCATGATTCATATAAGCTGGTTTCATTGGATTACGCAATATAATGTGCAGCTTGTCACGTACACAATATCGTAAAGATAACAATATATGGCAATCTGTAGATTCAGCATTCACATTACGAATCCCCCTCCCCCACATACACACAACTTTAGTTACCAAAACAATCCCGACAAACGTCTTTGTTGGAGGGCCCATTTGATTATCCAGGGTATATACAAGGGTATATTTGTAGTTGAATAACGCGTAATAACGCACTCCGTTGACAGTTGGCTCAATGAAACTATCTAGCTAAGGAATTGAAACATGAATAATCCAAGCAAGAAATTAATTAATTGCCCGAACTATTTTACATAAAATATGGTTATATATGTCTTTGTTTACTTTTGTTATTTCAGTTGGTTTAAAAATGATAAAAATGTTTGGCGCTAATATTAACCATTGTGTTGTGTTGTGTTGTGTTGTGAACAAGCTCTGTGTTTATAACACGATTATTAGACCAGACCATATCATCTTTGTTACAGAGATGATACAGGAGATTGTATTGTGTAGATTCTCGCGTTATTTCTCATTCGCGTTTACATTTACATAAATTTAAACATTTTGCGGGAGGCTATAT